CCCCCCCCCTCCACACCGTACTATAGCGTCACCCACCTCATCGATGTGGCCGGCTCTCCTCACCCCTCAGCCAAGAGGTGATGCCCCACCATGCGGTCCTAGGGGCCGAAAAATCCTAGAGGCGTTGCATGTCCCCAGGGGCCAATCACGGTCGACAACTATACACAGACTGACCCCCTGTCGGTAACTTTTTTAATTACCCTAAGGAGGTAGCGTGGTAAAGTAAAATACGGTTCTTTTTTGTAAGAAATACCTTATATTATACAAGCATCGTACATATTGGCGATACTTTTTCGATACTTTTAGCTATCGATGGGTGGATATTCAACCCCCCTAATATTTTGCTCGGGGTGAATCCTGTACATACCACATAGCTGTGGGAATTCTAGTACCCTTCTTTTGGATCATTTAGCGAACGATGTGCCAAATACACCCGGCATGGGGGTACCATTGTCTTAGCAGCGTAAACTGCTACATGTATCCCTTATTTGCAACTATGCAAAAAATGAGGGCTATGGTGGGGAAAAAGATGGTTACCTGTGAGCCGTCCTCGCAGCATCCTGTCATTACCTTGGTGGCAAGCGATAGAGGCGACAATAAAAAAAGAAGTGATAGTGATAGTGAAAACGTAGTTGTGATTTAAAAAAAAAAACTGTTTAACATCAACGGTAGGTGTAAAAAATATTTTTCTTGTTTTCGATATCTAGCATTATTTCATCTAACGTTTACTCTGTATCCAGAACAACTCGAGAAAAAAAGAGTGCTCAATAAAAAATACATTTTGTTTTAAAAAAGTGGTATGTATATCAGTGTTAAGTTTGTATACATTTTTTTATTTGATATTAAAAAGTTTATTTTGTATCTGGTATCTTTGACTTTTTTTTCTAGACATTACAAAAAGAAGGACGAAGAACACCTGGAACCTTCTAACTACATCAGGCTGTTAATGGAGCTGTAAGTGTAGTAATTTTAACCCTGCACAGGTTTTTATTTTATTGTTTAAAGAAACTACATATTTGACACCCTTTACTCTTATTTCTAGCCGCTACAAGATGCAACCAGGATTACCACCACCAGTGCTCATAACAGACAGCCGTACGACCATTATTGGACCGATAAGTGTATTAATTTTAAGACTACACAGTTTTGTATTTGCTTTAAACATATTTATTTTTTAAAAACTGAAACGTTAGAGATTATGGCACCAACGAGGCCAGATACACTGCCCGAGGGGGTGAGGGACCGTTTGAGGGGCCGCTGCTAGATCTTATACCGCCGCCCTTCAACGATTTCTTCACCCCCTTCAATAAAGGGCGGTGTTTTTTCGGTTGCTTATATGTGCGGGGCGTGGAGGAGGAACTCTGCTACGGGTGCATGCGCACGCAGACTGCCGAGGACAGGGCAGACTAGACAGTGCATGTAATGCACTACCTGCAGATAGATCCCGCAATAGACCTGCGTGTGGGGATATCTGTACGCTGTGCTCGGTGTGTGATGCACGTGTTAATTAATAAAAGACACAGGAAACCCACGTGATACTAATATTGTTACTTCACTGAATTCAGCAAATGAATTACATGCATTACTCTCCTAGTATATTTTTTCAATTTGACGTATTTTTTGCAAATTCAGAGTCGACAAGTATTGGGCAACTTTGCCGCCGGTAGTCGCAAGGGGCTGCAATTTGGTGTAGACATTCTAGGAACGAAAAAAAGTGATACGTGTTTTTGCATTACTCTACTAGTTCATTTTTTCAAATTGACGTATTTTTTTGAAAATTCAGAGTCGATAAGTATTGGGTAACTTTGCCAGCGGAAATCGCACAGAGCTGCAATTTGGTGTGGACATTCTGGGAATGAAAAAAGGGATGTCTCTTTGCGTTTCTCTCCTAATCCATTTTCCTATTTTACGTATTTTTTAATGTCTCCACAATCGCTGATTACTCTATAACTTTGAAATCAGCAATCGCGATGTCTTAGAAATTTGATATGGCTATTCACAAGACGAAAAAATAATACTTCTATGTTTAGTTTTCAATTCATTTTAAATTTAATGCATCAGTCTCACCACCCACCCTCCTGGCTCTCTCTCGCTTTAATAATCTGTTTTCCTCAGGACTACTATAAAATTCATTGCATGACGTTTTGGACACCGTGTACCGGTTTTCGTCTGGCTAAATGCGTATCCCGAAACAATTGCCGTTCGCGCGTTGCACGTGTAGCTGTTGCGCCAGTCTAAGTCACGGCCATGCCCATATTGGTACTTTGTCAACGAATTCTACGACGCTCTGTTGGGCTAGGAAACAATTGATCAGCGCGGAATTTGTGGGAAGCTATTGCAAATCAGCTATATTTGGCATCCGCGAGTGTACTTCCCACCACGCTGCTACGATCCGCGGAAATCCTTCGTTCTGATTGGCCTCACTTAAATGCTTCTCATTTAAAAACTATTGCGAACTTTGGCAAACGGTTTTCCGGGGGGTACTCAGGGCACCTCCAGGCATCGTCCACTTTCCGGTCCAAAAGTAGTTCTGGAACACCCTGTATGCATTCAAGATTACATTTTTTTTAATTGTCTATATCTTGTAACAGAAATGTTACTACAGACTCCTCTTCGCCACCTGGCTCGAGGGTATCACTCGCCTTGAGCATTGCGTATTGCGTATATTGTTATTCATTGCGTATACTATTGTTTATATCATATCTTTAGTGTTTTAAGACTATTGTTAGTAGCGTAAAATCCCTCCACGCCGTCATTCCCCTAGGACACTGGCTCAAAGACATCGCGGACCATCTACGACGACCAAGCACCAAGGAAGGATCGAGGGAGTGGCTACGTTGCCTAGGCAGCGGAATTCAGGGAAGGCATGGGCAGGACCCCTATCCTATTAAGTCCTATCAAGACCAGCTGACCGAGACCGCGTGGAGAATGAACCCCGGCAACTAGCCACAGTGACCACGCATGAGTGCAGCCCCGATGCAGTCCCGTCAAACGGATTGTAAAGAGGCCCGTGTAAGAGCGATGAAGCCCTCTTCCTCCAACTCCACGGATGTGCCCGGGAGGATCTTGACAGGCCATGGAGGTCGCCATGTTGTCCGGGACGCAGACGACAAACCAGCGCGCCGGCAAAGACAGCCCCGTGCCATCCAGTAGCGAGGCCGCCAGGACTATGCCCAGCCGACGCATCAGAGCCCTGCCAAGCCCGAACAGCGGACCAATACCGAAGCGTAGCTGGATGTAGGCCGTGCCCTTGATTGTTTTGTTAAAATTCTGGGGCCGAATGCTTGGGTAGAGCCTATTTGGTTGGAAAGGTTTTGCTTCCAGTAACGGCACGGTGATACTCATCAGGAGACGACCCTCCTGACACGTCGTAGTGATGCGACTGATAGTTAAGAGAACTGTCGCTCGCAGGTTAATCATCGTAATAGGAAACTCAAGAGACGTCGTAGATTCCTTACATGGCGGGCTGCGGTGGTAAGCTGCTCGACGGAGAGTAAATAGGGATGCAGAATTCCGAGTTGCGCATAGTGAATGACATCCACGAAGCGTTGCAAGGTATCGATGTAAGTATCAGCAGCGTCGATCATGTTGTTTCGATAGGCTGATAAGATGCATAGTATAGTTGAGACGATGGATGTCTTGGAGCTCCTAACGTAAGGTGTTTTGGATATCGATAGTAGCGTTGGCGATTTGATGAATATCCCTATCAAGAGCGTGTACGCGTGAGCCTATCACATTTATCTCGAATGATATGGGTGGAGTACTTTACGAGGTGCGCCAATTATTATTGGCCCTTCGACACAAGTTCGGTGATTTCGTGGCCGTATTGCTCCGTATCGTCTTCCGTGAGAGTCCCGAATAGTGCATACGAGATGGAGCCGATGAATCCCAGGGGCAGTCCGCGAGTGGCCTATTGTTTGGGGCCGTTGTCTTCCTTCCCGGGCAACACGAGGAGTCGGATTTGTGTTTTCAAACTTTGAATCCTCTTCTTACGACGATCGAGCCTGGTTCTGGTTAGGAAGCTGCAGCACTGACTGGCGCTGAGGGGATTCTTACTGAGGGATTCCCCAGGGCTGCAGTGATAGATGCCACTCGAGGTCGAGGTAGGTGATGGTTTTCCAGTCGGTGGTGTTCACGCGTATGTCAGGAAGGCGTTCGTAAAAGATGCCAGAGTGGTCCGGCATCGGCCGCGTCTGGTATACCGTAGGTGTGGCGTCAATAGTTGCCAGGATTAAATTCAGAGTCGTCCCTATTGATGTTAAAATTTTGCCAAGTGCCATACCTGTAACAAAAAAAAAACCTCGTCGTTGGGATTACTAATTGGCCAACTTCATTTTGTTTGGATGTTTAGTTTCGAGCCGCCCAGCCTTATTTGCATACGTCACATTTCCCTTTTCCGTGATGTCGACGACCTCATAGAGCCCATGATATTGGGGGGTAAATTTTCCTTTTCGCGATTTTTGGAGGACATAGATGTCGTCTCCGATTTTGAAATTTATACGGTGAGCGTCGCAGCCGTATTGCTGCTTTGATCGTTCCTTCGCCGGGATGAGGTTGCCCGTCGCTAATCGATGGATCTCGTCGAGTCTCGTCACTAAATCAACCATATGGTGTATGTCTCGATTTTCTCGACAGGTGGAAACGCGGAATCGCACGCGAAATCTTTCCGTACATAAGTTCATACAGACTAAAATTCGTTCCCGAATGAACTGATGTATTATACGCGAGCATCGCGAATGGCAGTAGCTCATCCCAATCATCGAAAAGAGAGAGGAATGCTTTCAGATATTCGGCAAGAACTAGGTGACTACGCTCGAGGGAACCGTTAGATTGGGGAGGATACGCGGAAATGGTGAGTGTTTTAATTCAGAAAATCTCGGCGAATTGTTGGAAAAGCTTACTAGTGAAACATGCGCCACGATCAGTGAGAATAATTTTCGGAGATTCGTAAAGAGCAATCCAGTGCTTCGCGAAGGCTAACGCGACAATTTCTGCTGTTGTGCCGTAACGTCTCGGGGACGAAGGAGTTCGATCGAGAGGTTAAGGCTGAGATTATTTTGGGATCGTTGTCGGTTAAGGAGTTAGAACTCGCGTGAGATTAACAAAACAGAGAAGGTTTATTGAAATGATCGAAAAAGATGTACAGTATTTCGACGTACGTCGACTTGAATAATATAGGCACTGTTCGGTTTTCCTATTTCCTGTACCGAGTCTACTCCGCGAGACCACCTTATCCGTTCGGATACTAATTGTAGACTGTCCAATTTTTAGAGGTACAGCCTCTAAGCTGCACTTCCGAAAATGTGCTTATTATGCGATTATCGATTTCCACATCTCGGTTGCCAGGCCGCCTTTAGTCCTGACTTAACGCATTGTTACACGCGTGGATTACTTGGCCTGGCGTTTTCCTTGGGATCACGCAATACTGCTTCGATATTCGGTACGAGAACGGCAGCGCAGAACTTTGAGAAATTGTCCGGTATCGTGAGAATGTACCAATTTCCGGAGGGCGAAATGTCCAAGGAGCCAACGGCGTCAATCGCTACTTTTTCAAAGATGTCAGAGGACGTGTCCAGTATCTGCATGGGCTGTCGAATTTAATACGAGCCAGTTTTTATTGTTGGCAGATTTTGCAGCGACGCACGTTGTTTTCTATCTGTTGTTTTATTCCCTTCCACTGGAATCTCTCTTATACCTCTATAGGTTTTTGCAATGCCCTTATGGTCACCGACGAGACTCGTGATTCTCTCCGAGTATTTCTTCCCGTTGGTCCAGAGGAGGTTCGTTTTTAACGACACCATTGCACACGGTGATAGTGACTGGTATGCCCTTGAAGATTGTCCCCAGCATGTCTTTAAGGACATAGTACGGAATATCATGTAGTCGGTCTCCTATCTTAGATATTCGGAGAGCACTAATCTCGTAGCGCTCAGCTGCCGGACGTAGTGCGTGCAGACCGAGGACTAAGTTTTCAGGCGTCGATTTATCGAAATGGCGCTCCTTGATAATAATGCTGAAGGTCTTCTACCGTCCCTTTGAGGAGACGACAACGTACTCTTTTCTCAGTGGGCTGCTCTTAAGGGCATCATTGTCTATACGTTCGAGATCGATTAGCAGTTGAGCGACTGGACTTGTGGTTTCGCAATCGGTACTGAGGAAGTGTGCTACGTGGTTCCTATCGTAGGTCAGCGACTCACGGCTTTGTTCAATGACGCACGTGCCCTGATTGTTATAGGATGGTTCGCTTTCGAATTTCATTCACGATTCCTCTTCTTGGGAATCATCCGAAGAGTAGTCTATGTAAGCGGCTTGAATACCCGTTGTTTCGACATAACTTGATGGGCGTGCTTTGGTAGTTTCCGTGGGTTGTATTATTGTTTCTGTTCTTTTTGATGTAGCCACGGCCTTACGGTCGACGTTCGGTGTTTCTAAGATTCGAGAGATACCATTCGTTTCAAAACGAGGACTCGATCTAGGTATGGGTTCCCAAGATAGTAGAGGTGTTGGGATTGTCGATCTTCTTCCAATGTGCATAGTTTTAGAACCTTCCAAGCCGGCATCACGATTTGGTACCATAGAAGTGATAGGTTTACTGAGTACGGAAGAGGTATTCTCGGGATCGTGCGCTTTGAGTGCTTGGCTGAGATCTCGCAGGCACTGTTGACCCATACCAATTAGTTCCGCCAAGTCACAGGGAGAGGACTAACTGTCTGCCGAGTCATCGGGGGAAGACAAGTTGTTTGTTGGCGTGGGAGATGTTGGTTCCTCCGAAGGGTCATGTATATTATCGTTACGCAAACGCAAAGATTCGTCAAATTGGGAGAACGAACGACGCAAATCCTGTAGGAAATTCCGAGCCATTGGGTCGCGAGGTTTTTGTGCGACCAGCGGTCATTTTTCTAGTGTTAACGTCCTTTCTGCGGGCACGTCGGTTTCACTCTCACTAGATTCTTTCGGAGCAAGTTCTATTACTGCTACCTCTAGTCTTTGGAGTTGTGACTCCATTGTAGGACCTTCGTCCTTGATGACGTTGTCGGGGGGTTAATTTGTCTCTAGTGCATCCGAGGTATTAGGTAGCATACTTCGGTGTCTGACGCGAAGAAGTGGTACCTGTTCTGTTGATGATTCGTCTCCCGTGGTGTCAGAGTCCGGTTCCTTATAGGTCACTCGTTTTGCTGCTTAGCCTTATGTCTTCTCGACGTTTGACTCTGGATCCGATGGAGTTGGTTTCAAGACCTATCGTCTTTGGCGGTCCTTCTACCTTTTTGGGGCGATTATTCATACTCTGTGGCTGATTTTGGAATCGGGAGAGGATCGAAGTCGGTGGTGCAGCAGCGGTTCGAGAGCACGTAGTTGTAGTTTTCGAGATGGGATAAGTAGTGACGATTGCGACACTTTCAACGGGATTGCGCGATAGAGCATCTGCTTTCTGGTTAAGCTTCCCCAGATGATATTTGAGGACGAAAGTATAATTTCCCACTTTAGTTCTCCACCTTGCTCTACGGTTCGATTGGTCCGTCATATTATGTAGCCATGTTACGGTTATCAGTGATAAGGGTAAAAGGGCGGCCATATAAGTATGGTTTAAAATACCCGATTGCCCACACAGCAGCGAGGCACTCCTTATCGTTGCTATGATATCGAGTTTCTGATGGCTTCAGAGAACGAGAAGGGTAGGCTATAGGGCGCTCTTCTCCGTTGATAGTTTGGCCAAGTACAGCCCCAAGTCTTACGTCTGATGCGTCAGTGGCGAGGACGAAGGGTTGACTGAAATCCGGATACTGTAAAACAGGTTGCTCACATAGCGCATCACGAAGGTTTTCGAAGCTCTTCTGCTCCTTCTCGGTCCACTCGAATTTACGGCCCTTCCTTAGCAGGTCACTTAGGGGTTTGGCCAAAATAGCGAAGTCCTCAATGAAGTAACGATATAATTGGCGAATCCGTGAAATTGCCTCACGTCTGTGACGTTGGTAGGAGGCGGATATTTCATTATGGCTTCTAGTTTCATCGGATCGGATTTCAATCCATCATTGGATATAATGTGTCCGAGATACGTCACATCCAAGCGAAGGAATTGGTACTTCTCGGGTTGGAGCGTCAGGTTGACTTGCCGAAGTCGCGTCAGCAGGTTCCTGACTCTGCCTCCGTGTTCTTCGAGAGTGGGTACATAGACGATGATATTGTATAGATAAACAAAGAGTTCGATGCCATGAAATCCGAAAAGGGCAATGTTCATGTGTCGCTGGAAAACACATGTTTGGACTGTTGTGAAGTCCAAAGGGGAGGACGGCGAATTCGTAGTGCCCTTCCGGTGTCGAGAACGTGGTTTTAGGGCGGTGTATAGGATCCATCTCAATTTGATGAAACCCGCTGGCAAGATCGAAGATGCTGAAATATTTCGCTCCTCCCAACTGGTCTAGGATGTCAGTGATATTGGAAAGAGGATATGCGTCCGAAAGAGTTTTTTCATTCAACGCTCTGTAGTCGATGACCACACACCATTTGCGATTTCCGTTGGCGTCCGGTTTCTTCAAAACAATCCATAACGAAGAGTTATAAGGTGAAGCGCTCGGTTGGATTTTTCCGTCCTTCAGGAGTTTGTCCATCTCTCGGTTAATCTCCTCCTTGTGAACAACCGGGTACTGATATTGCCGGGTGTTAATTGGGACGTCGTCGATAGTAGAAATCGTGCAACGCATCAAATTTGAGCGGCCCAGTTTGTCACCTGGTAGGTTAAAGCAATCGGAAAACGCAGTCACTAGTGTGCGTACGTGTTCTTGTTCCTCGGTATTGAGGTGATCAGTGCTCAGTATGGCTAACACAGCCGAAACCTGATCTTTCCCGGCGATAGTCGCTTCGTCGACCGAATCGGAGTCAGAAATTTCTTCTGGTGGGCCACGATACTCAAACGTTGAGGAGGGATTGAGATTTCAACGTCTTGCGTCGTGGTGTTGACTGCCATAACGTAGGCGACTCCATCATGATTAGTGGCGGCGGCTTCGTCTATGAAAATGCTTTCATCCGTCGGAAACCGAGGGAGATAACCTTCCTTGATTTTGGAATTTCTTACGTTTATTGGTATTGCCTTGCGTGTTCAAGCGGAAACTCGCACCGCAGAGTCCGGGCGCGCGTCATCAACTGCTGGCGAAGTAGTATCAGGTATCGACACGGTCATTCCTTTCTCGGTGCCTGTAGCGTATCCTTCAGAGATAAAATAATTCTTGTCGCAAATGAATGGAATGGGGCGCGTGGGTCGACTCGCGGTAAGTAGAGCATTGTGGT